CAGCAGCAGCAGCAGTCCTCGAGCAGCAAGGGGCGGGCGAATGTTTCCTCCGTGTTTGCGATGAGGCCCGTTCATTCATCGTTTTGTTTACGCATTTGTTTGTTTATATTCAGCCAGAATTACGGGAACAGATCACTGCAGCTGTTAGCGGCAGTGTCCATTTCCCCCGTACCGGCCTCGAAATGTGCATCTGAAGTGCCGATTGCGCAGCACGATAGTCTTGACAAAAGAGGGACGGTTGCAGTGCAAAATGGCTGGTGGGGCTGTTAAAATTGAAAATTAATGTATGCATAATTAGGATATGCCTTAAGGATCAGGAGGAAGCATAACTAATCCGTGACAAGTGTATGCAATGCATTTGGTAACAGCTGTGTGTTTGCTACTGCTCTGCGCATACATTCGGAAGGTAGACTGCTTGGTGTCATCCTGTAAGAGATTGCATGGGGCCAGATGGGTTGGGACTGAGAACCCGAAGCAAGAAGGGGAAGTCCGTGTGCTCCTCAATTGTACCTTAATGAGGAAGAGACGGCGACAGCGAGAGGAGCACGGACGGAACATCCTCGTTGAAGCTCTGTTAAATTGCTGCTTGAAAGCGCGCTTGGCCAGAGTTGATATCCACGGATCACTGTGCTACCACAGACACACACACACGCATACACACACACACACACACACACACACACAAACGTATACACACATTTGGATACTTCAGTGCATCTTACGACGGAAAGATTCCCGCAGAAGTGCTTGGGTGGAAGCGGGAGGAGTGCAGAAGGGGACGAGAGGGGGGGAGGGGGGTGGAAGGGAGGCACATCGAATGCTGAACTGGCTACGAACGTCTCGTGTAGTTAGCATGACGCCAAATTCCGTCTGCTTACCCGTAGTCTTTTTCTGTCGCTGTTTTGTTTTTCACAGGATCGTCCGTGAGTTATACTGGGTGGACTACAATAGCTTCCTTCACGTGTTATTTTTCTGCATTTTTGATAGTGGATCGGCGACGTCATTTCAACACCCCTCCCCCAAACTTCTCGTCTTGAGGACCCACTGAAAAAGAGTCTTCACTGTGCTTCATTTCACTGCTTACCAGGTGTTGTCATATTCTACATGACACAGACTCTCAGTGCCTACTCATTCTTCAAGGAAAATGTCAACGATAGTCCTGTTGGAGTGGTTGCTATTCGTAAAAATATTTTGATTACGGAGATCACGCAGAAGTTGAGTCATAATTACGTTATGTACAGAGTTTACTGAGCGAACTGACGCATTATCTCAGAATTTAACTGTGCTTTATATCATGGCAATCTGTCAGCAGTCACGATTATTAGCTAGTACCAATGTGAACAGTATTTAGCTCGCAGCTATTCTGCACTGTAACTGCCAGTGTTTTATTTGATTTTCGGGTGGCCTTTAAACAAAAATCCATCAGATTAGCTGTGCAGAGGAAAGCAAGTCAGGTTTAATTGGCCTTATGCAATTTTACCTGCTGAAATAATGGTGCAGTGAGCGGACTAGCGCTATCATGCAGGGAAAAAAACTTGCAGCTGGCAGGTGCGGACACACACTAAACAAGCTCAAGAGTTTGACTCTGCTAGCGGAACAGCCAGTTTATTTACAATTCGTTTTTTGGTTTTGATAA